CAAAAACCTTACCGCAAGGCAGTGGGTTTTGGCACTGGACTACAGAGCCCGTTTTATGAAATGAGGAGCCACCCCCATTCCAACCCCCACCCTGGAGGACCAGGAGGCTGAGTTTGTCTGGCCTCTAACCATCGACAAATCTGGTATGAGTGGCTCTAAAGGTGCAAAAAAAAGCACCACCCAGCATAGCTCAATGGATCTCTGAGGCACGCAAACCATCGCACCACGGTAAGGTCTAGCCTCATTGCGATGGATAAACATGCAGATCGTGAAGAGGTAAGTTTGCTACTTTCATAAGCACGTACGGTCCGACCATGTGTTATCCTGATGACACGCGTGATCAGTTCTACACTGAGCTATCCTCCGTGATACGGTCTGTGCCGAAGAGCGACCGACTATTTCTGCTGGGTGATTTCAACGCGCGCGTTGGGCGTGATGCATCAGCGTGGACAGATGTTATCGGTGCGCATGGCATTGGTTCAGCGAATGCGAACGGTGACAGGCTGCTCTCACTGTGTGCCACCCACGGCCTGACGATCACGAACACTCGGTTTGCACTGAGTGCGAGCGATATAGCAACTTGGACGCACCCACGGAGTGGTCACGCTCACCTGCTCGACTCTGTCATCGTACGTCAGCGTGATATGCGTGAAGTGCGCATGACACGTGTACTGCGTGGAGCTGAGTGTGGCACTGATCACAAATTGGTTCGGACCAAACTGTACATATATTTTCGTAAATCGATGTATTGCACTCCCGCCGTGAATCGGCGTAAATTTAACATTCTCTCCCTCGGCACTGTGGCGAAACGTACTGAGCTGGAGAAGGCGATGGCTGCACGCCTGTGTGGTGATGTGGACTGTATAGCCACAGTGGGCGACCTGTGGCACCACATTCGCGACCAGGTGACAGCTGCTGCCGAGGAGACCATCGGGCGCGCAAACTGTAAGCGGCCTGATTGGTTTGATGACAACAATGTGACAATTGACGCATTGGTGTCAGAGAAGAATGCAGCATTTGCTGCACATGTGGCAGACCCCAGTGACTTGGGAAAGAGTAGTCAGTTTCGCAAACTTCGACGGCGACTGACCCGAGAGCTCCGTCGCATTAAAAATGCATGGTGGACGGAGAAGGCGAAGCAGATGGAATGCTACGCCGAACGCCGTCAACACAAGGAATTCTTTGACTCCTTGAAGGCGGTGTATGGACCGAGATTGGAGCCGCTGAGGACACTGATCGATGGTAGTTCAGGCGCTACCTGCACCCAGACTGCAGACATAATGCAGGTCTGGCGGAAACACTTTGACTGTCTCTTGAACAACCGTTCAGAGATCGACTGGCCTACAGTGAACGGCCTGAAGCAGCACGATGTGAAGGCGGATCTGGCGGATACGCCGAGACTGGATGAGACGCAGAGAGCACTTGCTCAGCTGCGAAACGGCAAATGTGCCGGAGGTGACGGGATCCCACCTGAAGTATTGAAACACGGTGGACCCGCGTTGTTGACTGCGCTGCACCACTTGGTGCAACGCGTGTGGATTGAGGAGGAGGTGCCTCCTGAGCTGAAGGATGCCCTTGTGCTACCACTGTACAAGGGCAAAGGTAGCAAGCAATGTTGCACGAATTATCGTGGCATCAACTTGCTGAGTTGTGTGGGCAAGGTGATTGCCCGAATCCTGCTCAATCGCCTCGTGAGTCAGATTGTGGAACCAAACGTGGCGGAAGAGCAATGTGGATTCCGTTCGGGGCGCAGCACTATAGATATGGTGTTTGCGGCTCGTCAGTTGCAAGAGAAGTGCAGAGAACGACACCAGCCTTTGTACTCGCTTTTTGTTGATTTCACCAAGGCATTTGATACGGTGAACCGCGAGGCACTGTGGCTGGTGTTGGGTAAGTTTGGTTGCCCGCGTAAGTTTGTAAGTTTAATTGAATGTCTGCACAGTGGTATGCGAGCGAGGGTGCAGCTGAGTGGAGAGACCTCTGATGACTTTGCAGTTGTCTCTGGTGTGAAGCAAGGCTGTGTGTTAGCTCCTGCTCTGTTTAATATCTATCTTCATGCAATGTTGTCTTGTGCTTTTGATGCGGCTTGTGCTTACGGTGTTCGTGTGGAGCACCGTATTGATGGTGGGTTGCTGAACATCCGTCGTTTCGGTGCGAGAACTCTAGTCTGTGAGACAACTATCCGTATGTTGCTGTTTGCTGACGACTGTGCGTTGTTTTCACACAACGCGGATGAGTTGCAGCACATGACTAGTGCTCTGGCTTCGACAGCGGCCAAATTCGGGCTCACCATCAACACAAGCAAAACTGTCTGTCTCTTTCAGCCTTCACCGGAGGTGCAATCTTCAATATTGCCGCAAATCAGCATTGGTGCTGAAGTATTGGAAACCACCTCCCGCTTTTGCTACCTTGGGAGTGTGATGTCGACTGATCAGCAGCTACACGTTGAGTTGCGTACTCGCGTGTCGAAGGCGGCAGCGGCATTCGGGAAGCTAGAGTACCGAGTGTGGAACAACCATCAGCTTAGCATTGGCACGAAGCTGATGGTTTACAAATCCATGGTACTGTCCGTTCTTCTATACGGCAGTGAAACGTGGACGATGTACCGTCGGGATGTGCGATATCTCGAGCGGTTCCATCAGCAGTGTCTGCGACGAATTTTGCGGATCGGCTGGGGCGCCAGAGTTGCAGACACGGAAGTGTTGCGCCGAAGTGGGATGTATGCAGTGGACTGCATACTTTTATTGAGACACCTGAGATGGCTCGGTCATGTGAGCCGTATGGATTCGACGCGGATACCGAAACAACTCTTATACGGTCAGCTGAGTATTGGGAAGCGGCACGTGGGGAAACCAAAGTTACGTTACCAGGACATGATTAAAGTGAGCCTCACACGTTCTAATCTTGATTGCAGATCATGGGAATCGAAGGCGGTTGATCGGCGTGCATGGCGCGATCTAATCACAAAGGCAGTTGCTGAAGTGCGGGAGAAATCCCTCATGCATGCAGAGAAGAAGCGGCAGTTGCGGAAGCGGCAAGCACCGATGGATTGTACTCCATCGACATCGAGCGCATGGTGCTGTAAAACATGCGGTCGCGAGTGCCTTAGTCAGGCAGGCCTAGTGAGCCATGAGAGAGGTCACTCGGGACCACTGCCGAAGCGACGACGGGTCCCGCAGTGAACATAGGCAGCACCGGCGCAGCGTTTGTAGGCACGCTGAATTCGATTTACTAACCGCATGGTTGCATGCTAAGTCTCTTTATTTCAGGTGGTGGGTTTTCGGTTCTCTCCTAATGCCTTTCTTTCTCATATAAATGTCTAGTGGGCCATGCGCTGTGCCATTTGGGGCCACTACAGAAGCGACGATGGGTCCTGCAGAGAATTACGACGAGCCGGCGCAGCGTTTGTAGGCACGCTGAATTCGATTTACTAACCGCGTGCTTGCATGCTAAGTCTCTTTATTTCAGGTGGTGGGTTTACAGTTTTTACCTTAATGCTTTTCTTTCTCATATAAATATCTCCCTGTACTCTATTCCATTAACTTGCACACATCGCTTCAGCCAATTGTATTCGATTTCCATAACATTTTTGTGTTCGTGGCATACCGTGAACTATACTTCCTGACCTCGTGCACTTAGCTGGGATTTGTTTGTAAACAACTTATTACGTATGCTATTTAATTAAGGTTTATGTCACCGTTTCCTTATGCATTAATCGAGTTTTTCTCTTTTTCTTTCTCTCTCTCTCAAGTGATTGGCTGTTGTTTGATATCCCCGGTGTGGCTGCGCTTGATGTGCATGTTGACAAGGTGCCTACCTGTCTATTACCCACTACGTCGTCCATACTGGCTCCAGGAGACAGTTGGTCGTTGCTGGAGGGGACGGGGTGCACGGTCCTTGTGGCCGTGTTAGGCTCGAAGAGTGGTTCCATGCACTCAGTGTGGAGCGGACTACGGTCCAGCCACCGCCTTGTGTGCGCTTGATTCCCAAATACAGTGTGCTTGTGTTTGCCTGTGAAGGAGTGTGGGCCGGCTCCGTTGATGAAACGTGGCTCCCATCCGCATGCCTCCCGGTCTTATTCCTTCGGGTTTACACTGGATATGGGGTGTGTGGTTGGAGCTGTGGGTGGTGCAGCGCAAGCCATCCATGGTCCCTCTGTAGGCGCAGGCGTCCTGTGGCTTGCCACAGTGACAGGCAAATCCGAAACCGGATGCCGCCAACCATATATATATAGTGATGTCAGTTGTGTTAATTCTTCAGGAATTGCTGTTTTACAAGTATCCGCAGGTAAGAAGCTTTGATAGCCATGCAGTTTGTTGTGTGGGTTACAGCTGAATATTCACTCTACATGAATGTATACAGCGCTTTCCTAGCTTGGATTACTGTGACACGTTTGCTGTCCAGCATACTAATTGCGGAGTTCGCATATCTCCGCGGAAATTGCAGAGTCCGCCTGAGCTCACCTCAGCAATACTGTCACCATGCGGCGACCCAAACTGTGCAGGTCACCGCTGAGCTCTCGTCACTGACACCGATGTTATATCAATGTAGACCGCAATACTCCACTTTTGTAACGATGACACTGCGGCAGTTATCGTCCAAAGCCACATTGATCGCAACTGTTTTCACTGTGGGGTACCAACATTCACCTTCCAATACAGTTCATGTATTACGCTGCATGGTATTAGGCTATGAATGCGAAGGTGTGGAAGACATGTTTGCCTTTGGCTAAGTCAGTATACAAATTGCTATCGACCAGTCTCTTCTGGGTCTCGGTGCAGTTTTGCGAGATTACACGTTCCGTCTTTAGTCTCAACTCGCGTATACATACGTCTGGCTGTTAGGTCTCTTAGTCCGTACCGATCCGAATTCAATTGGCTACTATACGCTTGGAATACTATTGATGAAAGGAGTTTTGTCCGTTACGATTATCATTCGAAACAACTAGGACGTTTCATGATAATAGTTTGTGGAATAGAAGGGACGGGCTTGAAACTTACTTCAGTTGCGTCAGAGAAGCCAGACCTTTTGCAGTCAATCGTGGACATTCACCAATATCCAAGAGAGTAAGGCCAGTGATCCTTCCCACTCGAGAGAGACAGAAATCGTTCACATGCATGCACCTTCTCAACCGTAGATTGCGGAGCTCTGTTAGTTGTGCTATGGGTAAAAGGGTTGGAAAAATAAGTTTCCAAATATAATGTTTTGTGCGCAGAAGAATCTGAATAATTGACACTGAGACGTGGCTCAGACCGAATAAGATACGAAAAGTGGCACCAATGGTTGACGTTTTCATCACAAAATGAACGTATATACAGATTGTAAGAAATGGAACCCAGACAATTTTCGATCGATTGTATAAGTTGACTCGTGAGCACGTCCAAAGGCAAGAGCTGCATCTCTTTCAAGTCGAATCATCATCATCATTATACACATCAGCTATCGTACCGCACTTTCAAGTCGGAGCTCCAGGCACAGCTGAACACGTTGATACGGTGAGATAATTTGTGGTGGACTCCAAGGTTGAATTTTGAGTACGCGTCTTGCGGATGGATTGTGATACGCAATCTCAACTGAGACCTCGGTTTACCTTGAAGTAGACTCCGGTCATTCCGATCACCAGGATCGCAGCCGAAAATGGAAGTGTTTCGGTGTTGCTTCTCTCGACACTGACACCTCACTCAGTGGGGTGGTTGGCTTGCCGAACTACCTCTTAGTGGTGCTAGCTGAGTGGTTCGAGTTCACTCCGTTCCAGCGAAATGATTGGCGGCAGTGTTCAGGACGTCGTGAGTTTCCAGCTGACAAACGCTCTTCCTATAAAATGTCAAATGTCTGTTTAAAATCTGCGACGTGACGCATGTGACTTGTCTCTAAATGAAGGCAATCCCCCCCTTGGAGATGTTTCGCTGTTGCTACTCCCAACACTGACACTCCATGATCGGTTTCGTCCTCCTTTGGATACAGTCCTTGCGATCGGAATGACCGAAGTCTACTTCAAAGTGAACCGAGGTCTAAACACAGATTGCGTGCTGAAATTCAACCAGGCGGTGGGTACTTCAAATCCAAATTTCAATCTCCACGCTCCACCTCGATGAAGCGTTGTACTCCAACAAATATGCTGATATCATGGGGAGGATTAAGCCCGTTTTGTAACTGACCAAGCAAATGATCTATGGACTGAATGGGGGCGATTCCCTGAATTTGCTCCACTGCCTTCCTAGCAGGCTAGTTAGCCAAAGGCTCGGGGTAATGTCCCCTAAGACAACAATACTTCGGTCCGGGCATCCGGATAGTATCACACCCCCTGACAAAATCATGGGTCCTTCATCTGATGTATAGCGCTCAGCTGCTTTTGCTTCCGCTACTCAAACACATCCTTCACACGCCACCTGTTCAAATGTTACCAATCGCTTACCCGTAACCAGCTGATTCCTGTTTTCGTGATTCTACTCTTGATGGTTTCATCGACGTCCACAGATCTCACCCAGTGGCCCTTCTTCGGACTCGGTTCTCGTCCCGTCTAGCATGCTTCAACGTATGTACGCTCATGTAGATCGGGCAGCATGCTGGTCTAGCGCGCACCTTAGAATCCCTCGCCATCGATGTTTGTTGTCTCTCGGAAACGCGCTTGCAAGATCCCGGTATTGTGCTTTAGTTGATATCTCCTACCGACCACGGAACTATATTTCACCTACGTCTATCTAGTGACACAGAAGCAGTTGTGGCAGGCTTGGTTGGCGTTGGTATATCGCTAAGCAGCAAAGCCGAGACCGCACTGCTGGACTGGTTCCCGATTAATAACTGACTGTGCGCATTTAGGCTTCGGGGATCATGCAGGATCAGATGTCATGAGGAGAGACACTTCCTTGTGATCCCAGCTTACGCTCCAACTGACTGCAGTCCAGACACGGTCAAGGACGATTTCTATCGTGAACTCTACCAGCTCTCGGGCAAAGCTTGCGAATCCAAAACTGTTGTCCTTGCTGGGGATCTCAACACACGGGTCGATCATCTATTATCACGCGAAAATCACTTCAGTGATCAACATGCGCTCGATGAGAGACGCTCAGGTAATAGAGACTTTCCGCGCTGTGCAAAGATACTCATCAGTTTTCTCGAGCACCAGCTTCTGGCATTCGAGGAGATGTTCCGCTACTTGACGACCCCCTTCTGCGTCCCAATTTTGGCCTCAGATATCGCAATCAGTTTCAGATGGCGAGGTCGTGTAACAGACTGCAGGTCAATCTAGTCCACATTTATTGACTCAGACTATGCTCTTCTCCATACGAACATCTGCACGAGTTTCGGAGGGTTCCCGAAAAGGGAGCACTGTAAGGTAGATGAACTATCTACACTACCGGCTCAGCAGAGCTAACAATCTTTCCTACCGACTAACCGCAAAGCATTGATTAACACTGAACCTTCTTGCAGAGGACCATGATCGCTTCCGGATAGTAGGTTGTCTTACTCAGTACCCTATAAAGGCCTGGATCTCCACACGGCCTTTGGATCTATTTGACCGTCGCAGAAATATCGCAGCGGAGTCTAATCATAATGAAGTGTGCCATTCTGTCAGTCGGTAGCTCACACAAAGCCTACGCAGTGATCGTGAAGCTTGGTGATCTCAGTGTACTTCGGAGATGGAGGCCGCTGCTGTATTAGGCAGCTCGTTTGGTCCACTGGCCAGAAAGCCTAGTGTCAGTGAGACTATTTGCGAAGCTGATGGGTCGCCGATTAACAACCTACAAAGACACTTGGATCGATGGGCCGAACATTTTAACTCCCAGTTCAACTGGCCCTCATCGTCACTTTTATTCCCTGCGAACCCAACTGCTAACCTTGGGTCGTCACACTTGATCTACTCCGTGAAGCGGAAGTTTGTCTTGCGATTCGACACGTGAAACGATTCAACGCTGCTGGCTCAGACGGACTTCCACCGGTGATGTTCAATTATGCAGGCGCAGTTATCATTGGCCAACCGAAATCTGGCATGAAGAAAAGGTGCCTTCTTCCTGAAGCGAATCAGTTATTGTCCCGACTTTTAAGCAGGGTGCATCAGTCTCATTTCTGTTGCCTTCAAGCTATTTGCATTCATTCTACTACGTAAACTATCCTCGGTTCGTAAATCGCAGTACCGGCAAGAACAAGCTGGCTTTCGTCCTGGACGTGGTTGCGTGGACCAAATCTTCACGCTTCGCCAAGTCCTCGAACATCGCCACCTCTACCAGGGACCTGCCATTGTTGCAATCTTAGACATCCGTGCAACGTTCCACTCGGTTGATCGATCTGCGCTATGGCGTTGCTTGCTAAGGAATTGGGTCTCTGAAAAGTGTACTGCCATCCGGCGCGTACTTCAGTTCCACATCTCCGGCAGGATGAGGGATTATAGCAAGCTTTCTACACCTTTCGCTATCAATAGCCGTGTACAAAAGAGCTGTCCGATGTCAACGTTCCTCTTCAATTTTGCGATTGAAAATGTCCTGTCGAGAGCTCTAGGGGGTTACCAAAACTTTTGACTGCAACTACTAACGGGTAAGTGAACAACCGGCATACATTATGCCGATGACATCGCAATGCTTGGTGACGACTCGCAGAGTATGCAAACCATTTTAAACTGCTTGGTGATTGAGTCATCTGAGTACGGAGTGTGCTTCGTCTCTTCGAAATACAAAGTGCCGCTCCAAGATTGGCACTCCCCCTTTCCCGTGCCCACTCTTGAAGCTGCACAGCTTGAACAAGCTGATAGTTTTGTATACCTGGGCAACTGATGGCGCTATCAGCAAGGAGATTTCTCTCCGCATCGCCAAAGCCCAGTCGGCGTTTGTCAACCTACAACATTTGTGGTGCCGTCGAGGCGTCTCCCACTTTATAAAGGGCCGTGTTTGCAATACCACCGCTCGATCGGCGTTGCTATATGGCAGTTAGTTATGGCCAATTCGCGTAGATGATATTCGCCGGCTCTCGGCCTTCGATAATGGGTGCTTGAGGAGGATTGCTCGTGTGTGGTGGCAACAACGTATCTGCAACGGTGAAGTCAGACGTCGTGTCTTAGGGAATGCGAGTATTCCCTTCAACAAGCTGGTTAAGCTACGTCAGTTAAAATTGCTCGGTCACGTCCTGCGTATGTCAGCTGAGCATTTATCCCACTGCGCCCTTTCCGCTCGTACAGGACTTTGCTGGAGGATACCACGCGGTGGTCAGCCGTCAACTTGGCGACAGGATATGAAATCGTTGACTTCATATCTTGCTGCCGTTGGATCTACAAGTCTGCACGGCTGGGGACCAAAGGACGAGGAGTGTCGATGGCTAGGAACAGTTCCAGATATAGCGCGTAATTGGAACTAATGGAATACCTGTGGACATAGTTATTTAGTTTCAGATGCTTATTGCCTAACAGTTGAAAAAGACAGAAAGGAAAAAATGGCGTATGCAAAAATTGTTCCCTTTTGCTTCATTGCGACACGATAGCTTAAGTTTGTTGCTTTCTTCAGCTAATGTGCCATGATGATGATGCTGTAATTAAACCTATCTTCTTGTAGTGATTTCCATGGTTTTGTTTGTCTCAATGTCCATTCGTTAGACTGTTGCTAATACATACAGCCGCCGGATGACAGAAGCCCCATCAAACCGGAGCAGAGTCGGAGTACCTTGTTTACTTGTAACTTTGAGATTCCCGAGGATTTTAGTGCATAATCCAATGGAGTAGGTGCTGAGCGAACGAATTGATAGGTAACTTAGGACAGCTAAGCGCCGTGGAATGTGTTAAATAATCCCGGTCGACCTAACTAACCAATGTACGTGTCACCGCAGGTTTAGCTAAGTTGGTACAAGTATGAGGCAGTAAATTGAAAGAGGGGTCTACTCATGTCGGATTCATGGTGCAGTAGCACTGGCTAGGTCGAGTCATCCCACTTCTTTAAGGATTGTCAAAGCCAGTGGTAGAAACTATTGGCGTTTCGTTCCGCCTCAAAAGGCGGTGTAATGAGCAACTTTTACTTGAGCGCACAGTCGGTTTTCTTGTCCGGCTTGCTTTCCCCAGATCTAGTGATAAATTTACTGGGGTACCCGTTATCACGCAGTGTGGACAGTACGGTCCACTTCACCCGAGCAGATCCGATGATCCCTCACCAAACAGGCGCGAACAAAGAAGCACTTATAGT